GCTCTTTAAACTTCTATAACTTTGTCAAAATTCGTCCAAAATTAGTAAATCAAAGACTATTTTAAAGCTTGAACTCACTATTCTTTAGAATTTTAACTATTTTTATCACATTTAGTACGAAAAAGGAAGAGACGGGATATAAGTAAGAGTACTTTCATCTGCATAAATTCCTCGACATTTGTCACATACTACGGATTGCAGATATTTTTCTCGCAATTTGTAAACATATTATTAGTATTACAGAGTATTATCATTTATATTTAAATAAGTTGATCGCTCTAGAAAAGAAACGAGGGTGTTAGCGATTCTGCGGGTGTAAACGTGTCGATACTGTGATGTGGTATTTTATAACCGTCACAAAGAGCCTCCTCGGGAGACCGGACAGGTCATAGGTCGTTGGCAGAAACCGTCTAGAGAGAGAACGAAGCGCGTATAATATCGTAAGAACGAAATCTGCCGCTGTATTATTTTGTATGTACCGCCGGAGAATGACGTCACTGTCAACGAGGAAGCGACGTACGACGAAGGAACACGCCGCTGCTCTGCCGCTACCCGGCTTGGACCCTCCGACAGACGAAGAGAGGCGGCAGAGTAAGAGAAGAGAAGCCAGCGAGGAACCGACGTACGCCGAAGGAAAGTGCCGATTCCGTGCCGCTTCCCCGCTACGGCCCTACGATAGAAGAAGAGTGGCTGTGGAGCCGGGAGAGGCCCTGCCGAAGAAGACTTCGACAGAATTCGGAGACGCCGGCCGAGGGTAGGGGAAGGCTACGAGGTGTCCTGATACCGGCGCAAGGGCTCGCGGAGCCTTATTCTATATTCGGCACTTGCCTAGAGTTTCGTTTAAAAAGTAATTATCGTTCCGTGAGGAAAAAGGGAAACACCCCGAGTTATCGCGCCTAGTGTCTGGACACCTTGGTAAGCCCCCTCATTTACCGATATATGTATGTAAAAGGGCGCGAAATCGAGATTACCATATCGTGGGTTGTCGACCACCTGGCTTGCCATTCACGAGCAGGTTCTGCAAAGTGTGACCGGAGTGGCTTTGTATCGTAGGGAAATTAGTTTAAGTTAGAAGGGTAAAATTCGGGGGCCCCTGTCCGGGAGGGTCAAGGATCCCGACTTCCGGAATTTTTCGCTCTGTCGAGATATCGCTTCTCGATCTCTCGATTCGCCACTCGGCTGGATCACCGAACCTGTACCGGGGGATGGTACAGCGTAAGCTACAATTAAAGTATCGTCTCGAGTAGGCTTTAGCCAATATTGTACCCTCCCACGTCTCGATTTCGCGAACTCTTGGTACGGGAGTAGATCGTAAAGTGCATGTTTGTCGTGCCGGACATTTCGTGTTTGTCGCGCAACTTCTCGCTTTCTCTCTCTAGACGGTCGCCGATACAGAATCGTTCCGCGTGTAGAATTAAATCGCGTCTCGTATAAGTTTAAGTGCGTTAGATTCCGTTGCGTTTAGTATAATTGCGTTTCGTCGCGTTTCGTCGCGTCTCGTCGCGTCCCGTCGCGTCTCGTCGCGTTCGTCGCGTTTCGTTGCGTTTCGTCGCGTTTCGTCGCGTTTCGTCGCGTTTCGTCGCGTTACGTTCCGTTCGGATAATTGCGTCGCATTTTGTTAAGTATTTGCGTTGCGTTTTAGAAACTTCGTTGCGTCGCGTACCGTTCCGAGAATCGATGCTAAATCAAAGATTGTATTCCGCTTACGAACTGGCATTTATCGTTTCCGCGGTTAAAATCTCGTGGAGATACATGCAGGTGTTACAATGTCAGCAAGTTCTTCGACGCAATCTGCAGGCCCCCCTGGCATTAAATTAATGACGCGAAAACAGTTGTTTGACATAATGCTGAAACACAAGGGTGTAAATATTAATAAAAAACTCGAATATTTAATAAATTTCTTATTGTCTCAAGAAAATTACTCAGATGAAGAACGCCAAAAATTACACCTTAAATTATCGAACTTCAAATACGAATTTAAACGCAGATGGTTGTCTGTTAGTTACAAAGAAGAGACATTTAGGGCAAAATATAAGACTTGGCTAGAAGGAACAGTGGAACTTCCTATTGCGAATATTCGACCTGAACGACCAACAAAATCTTTTAGCGATTTCACTGAACGCTCTAAACGCCGAAAAACAGAAAATATTCGTGACAATACAAGCGTGGAAGAACTGTCTTTCGCAACACAAACGAAACTTAGAACTTCCGGTTTAATAGACGCGTCTGCTATATTAAAAGAAGTTACAAAATCTCCCACTCGTGCAACTAAATATAGGAAAATTTTTTCGAATAATCAGCAAGAAATAAAATTACAGTTACCGGTCATTGTGTCCATTTTGAGTCAAGTGAACCGCGTCTCGCGAGAATAGAAGTTTCTCCCCAGGTCGAGGAATATCTTGGAGAAGTCCTGCCCCCGAGGTACCAAGGAATGCACCGCGAGGAAATCATCCACCTTCGAGAGAGCCTTCGCCAGCGAGATACAGTCAACCGGGAAATCTGCAGAGACAGAATAGCTTCCAACGGGACTAGCATCTCCAGCGCATTCCAAAATTCTGCAACTATTGCAAGACTCCAGGCCATGATATTCACGAGTGCAAACGCCGTGAATACAGCAACAGGCAGGCGGGAAATGGCGAGCCCCTCCAGTCGACCACGGACCAACGGCGGGAGGCGGCAAGAAGACAAATGGTCCAGAACAACGCGTAGTAAGAATTGCACAAGCACACGTGCACCCGGGACCATTGGTGCCACTCATCTCAGTTGATTCACCGAAACTTATTCGCTCGACTCGGTTTATGATCGATACGGGCGCGGAGATCAATCTCATTAAAATATCGGTGTTGAAAAAGGAAACACAAATTGACCTTACAGAAACAGTTCAAGTGCGCGGAGTGGCCGCTGGCATTTTACAAACATTAGGGACAGTGTCGTTAAGAGTATTTGGAATGGACATTAAATTTTCGGTCGTGCCAACTCACATAGACATGCCCGCGGACGGTATCCTGGGCACTGATTTTTGTTTTAGGGGCGTACGCATTTCGTACACCGACCGCGCCATTTTCCTGGGAGAACAGAAGATCCCCTTCCACAACGCCGAGAGATTCGGCCCAGTCACTGTCGAGGTAGCGAAACCTGTCAAACCCCCATCCGTGGTCAGCGAAAAACAGCCCGAGGCGAGCCAACCGGTGGAAAATAGTCGTCCCAGCAACATGGAGTCCGAGCCGGAAATTGGCGACGTGGTTGCCATGTTCCGAAATTTCGATATCTACACCAATGTGCACGCACGCTTCCAATCAACCCCTGGAGCCCCGCTAGACGATGCGGAGCCAAACACTAGTTCGTGTACGAGCGTAAGCGAGCCTCAGCCACAGCAGACAACCAAGGTCGTGTCGACCGTCCTCAGGACCCCAGACCATGAACAACCCGAGGCGGAGAAGAAGGAAGAGTGCCCCACTGCTGTCCTCATTGACTTCGACGCCCTGGAGAACGAAGCAAGCCCACCCCCAATCCCCGAAAAGGAACTGAAAAGTGAGAACATCGAACTCCTAAAAGACATTATATTTGCAAATCCCGGAAGTTCTGCCCCCTTGACCCCCGAAAGTTCAATTCCTTCAACCCCCGAAGAATCGCTCTCAGACGAAATCGCTAGATTAAGCAGTATAGATTATAGTGAATTAGATTTAGATACGTTAAGCACAAGTATTTCAGATTTATCCATAATTAACGAAAATAGAGTAGGTTATGAAGATATAGATTTGGAACTAGATAATAATGAAAATATAGCGCCACAAGATAATATAGAGTATATAGATTTCGAGGAGGATGAAGTAGTATATTATGACTGCGCAGATTCTAGTTATAGCAGCGATGATGATTTAGATTTTAGTTATGATGATCTGGATGAAACTTCCAGTGAAAATGAGTTCTTATTCGGGGAGCCTCCCGACCCTCCGTCTCCGTCCATGCCGTTAGATTTGTCTTATTACAGTATAAAAGAACATCCTCCTGAAAATTAAAATAATTTTTGTGCGGAAATTATATATCGATATTGCAATTCTAGAAAGGTTACGATTTGGAAATAATATTCTGGTAGAATTTAATTGAAAAAGAAAATATTTTTATAAATAATACTCAATAATTAATCATATACATATATCCTTTATTCTTTTATGTTAGTCGCGTTAGAAATTAAGTTTAAAAGCGAGCGATTCCCCAACCCGCCGTGCCTCGAGGTCAACAACCGAAGAAAACATCAAGACATCGCCCAAATGCCCTCCAAAGACCCCACTTAAAATACTTTCCCTTTCTGCGAGAAACTGTTGTCCCTTTTTAAAACCCCTGAGTCCCCACAATAAAAGCCAGAAGTGACCTCGAACGACTCTAGAAGTGCGCGGTAGACACAAAAACAAAAGTGCGCGTGTGCTTCGAAATGCCAGTTGCGTTATCAACGTTAAAAACTGACACGTGAGTGACGAAGAAGTTAATTTCGAACATTCTACATAGACATTAAAATTTAAGTGCATGTAATGTGAAATTTTTCATAACTCAGCAACAAACTCCGTTGCGTTAACAACGTAAAAAACTGACATGGTACGTGAAAAAAAAAAAATTTCGAACACTGTATGAACGCTGAATTGTATGCGAGTGACGAAGAATTTTTCGGTGCCTTCAAAATTCTTAGTGTAAGGGGGGAGGCGTAAAATCGATAGCAGCCCGATATTGGGCATATCTACCGGTGCTAAAGCTGTCCTCAGAAAGTGAATTTATGCCATTTTCGAGACGTGAAACGAAAAGTACGAAATCGGACCTCTCTCTCGCACATCGCTTATACGTTGTGACGATCTGCGAATCGTCTTGAATTAGTTTTAAGCTCATATTTTGTTTATTTACATTATAATATTTTTCTTAATTATATAGAATCATTAATCGTTCTAATTAATATTCAGTATTCCGGCGAAATCTTTGTAAAATGCGTAAGATGCGTAATTATTAAGCGATGTCAGAAATTCCAGAGTCTTTAAATTTCGAGTCAAGTTAAAAATTAGAAAAAGTGCAGCATGGTTTTTCATCTCCATAAAATTCATTCATTAAATCGAAATATATTTTTCTATGTCTCTCTCCTCGGGATCTGCAACTTCTATGTGTCGTGTGACAATCCACCTTAGGGTAGGAATAAAAATGTCATACATATTCTCGGCGAAAATTAAAGAATGCGATTTCAAGTGATATACTTCCAAAATGTTCCGTGAGCGAAAAAGCCGTCAGAGTCGCGCTTTCCGCGGATAAGGAAGTCCTACGTAATTATTGCAGATGAATCCCTAATACGCGAGAGAGGAAAAATTCTAAGTTCAGTGGGCGGCGCGTGACTCTCCCCACTAAGCAGCGGCCAGTCGCGATCTAGTCAGTGCGCTGCGCGCAACGCTCCCACCTGGGAGACTACTCCCGCTACGGTCAACTGGAAAACCATGGTGACTCGCGCGAGAGCTCACTCTCATCTCGACACTCCGATCTCTGACCTCCGGACGGGTCACATCTCCGGACCCGCGCAAGGGGTCAACATCTCCGGCATTTCTGACTTAGTCTCATTTTATTTTTCGGCAATTCGGACTTAGATTTATTTCCATTTTCTATCCCTCGGACTTAGTCTCATTTTCATTTTCCAGTATTCGAACTTAGTTTATTTCATTATTCGTACTTTTCGGACTTAGTCTCATTCTATTTTTCGAGCATTCGGACTTAGATATTTTCCTTCTTTTTCTTCGATTTCGATTCAGATTCATTTCAAATTCCCCGTTCGGCACTTAGAATATTGCTCCGTTCCTTTGGTCGGAATTGCGTCATATATTCTTGTATTTAGAATTAATTTGCGTTACCGAGCGATCTTAGAATTAATTTGATTTTTGTAATACTCATATTATTATTTTTTCCAATATATATATGTATATTGTAAATTGGAAATATCTCTTACTTATTTTGCATCCTTTATCTCGCGTTCTAGCCGTCACGATAATTTCAATCTTCCGTCAAATGGTTTCGTCTCGTTGCATTTATTTTGAATCTTCGGTAAATCAGTTCGTGAATCATTGCCCTTTTTAAAGTTAAAATAAAGTTTATTTTCCGTAATCCTTATCACGCCAGGACATGACAAAATTTGGTGACTTAAAGCCCTTTCAATTTTTATTGATGCTCAATTATCTAGGGAGCAATACGAAATAATTAGAAGAAGCAATAAAAAGTTATATTCATGTTATTCACTATTACAAAAGGCCAAAAAAGAATGTTATCTTATTCGTGAATCATATTTAATAACTTCTACTAGTGCTGAAACAAATTTACAAGACCTAATAGATCACACTTCTATTCAGCTACTATTATCCATACAAGATACAATAAACGATTTAACGGATGATGAGTGCGCTGCATTAGAGTTAATAAGTAAATGGGTTTGTGACAGATCGCAACAGGCACAATTTAAACAAAAATTTGATAATAATTATGATTCCGATGCAAATCGGAACTTGTGGTGCCTCTGCAGTTAATTTCTTCCGTAAATAAAAAAATCGTTTGGCAAATAATAATAAATAAAAAAAGCGTTTACCTTCTTCTCCTCGGTATTGTCGACCAATTCGAATTAGGTTTTTTTAAGGAATCAGTTGACATTACGAATAAAGACATACAGTATATTAAAACAAAAATCAGTAACTTGAAAGAAACATAAAATAATTTTCAGAAAAAAAATACACCGACTTCGAAATGC